CGTAGCTCTCACTTATGCTTCCTATGCTTCCTATGTCTTTTGTGATTCCTCTTTACGAGCTAACTTTTAAGTTCCCTCTTTTTCTTTTTTACTCCTACGAGCTAACTTCAAACCTTAGACATTATCGAAATCATCGATATCACCGATTTAATTAACCACTCCGACTCCGCGAACGAACCCTTAATACCCAATGTCCCTTTACGCCCTTCTTTCCCGCTTACTCCGCACATCTTATAACCACCGAATCCGTTTAATACACGCGCTTTCAGCGCAATTTAATAGTACGAGATTTCAAGCGTGATGCTCGCCGGCCCGCAAAGTGACGAATGACGAGAACCGAAAGTGAGTTCGAGAGCAGAAGGCGGAAGGCGAAGGCGGAAAAAGCGAAGGGATAGGTTTCGAAGGAAAAGGTGGCTGCTGCGAGGATTTTAAGTGATAATATAAAAGATAAGAAGATGAAGATAAGAAAAGGGGTTTAATAAACATAAATACGATAAATATTCGATATTATCGTCTCGTTTGCAAGATCAATATCGCGCCCGCGCCTTCGATCAATTCTCTTGTATCCTTCTACCTTTTTGGCTTCCTTTATTTGCCGAGGCGCGAACACCTAATTTCCTATCATACACTAGCAAAGCAAGTTGTTGCTATTATTATTATATTTATTAACGTCGGGCAAGTGGAAAGCGGAGCCTGCTGCCCTGCCCTGGGACCTCTTACATGGTATAGTGTCGTACTAAGCTCAAGAGTTACATATAAGAAAGCCTTAAAAAGGAATTTATAATAAAGCAAGTTGAGTTTGCGAAAGACTTTATAACTATATTTTCTTTAATTACTTAATAGATTGGATTGATATCCATTCGGCCTTTTAGCCGAGCGTTCTTTAAGATTGCTTCATCAAGATTGCTTCGTGCACTTGCTTCATTAATGAATCCATCATCTGCTTTAGCCGTGGAATTATATCGTACACTTGCTTAGTTTATATATCTGCTCGGTTTATACATTTGCATCAGCTTTTTCTTCGTACACTTGCCGCTTCTTTTCTGCTTCGTGTATCTGCCCTAGCTTGCTTTAAGCACTTGCACAGCTTGCTTCGTGTATTTGCTTTAGCTTTTTCTGAAAGTAATTGCTTCGGATTCCTATTTCAAACACTTGCTTTAGCATTTGGATTTCGTGCACTTGCTTAATTCGCTTCGTCCATTCGCTTAGCATGCTTTAAGCACTTGCCTTAGCATATTTATTTTTTGCACTTGCCCAACTTGCTTCGTGCATGTGCCCAGCTTGTTTAGATATCTTTTTAGCTTTTTTTGCTTGAATACTCTCTTTAGTTTGCCTCGAGCTCTTAAGGCCAGCTTACATGGCCAAGACACGGGGCCGGGACACAAGGCCGGGACACAAGGCCGAGACACAAGGCCGGGGACACAGGG